GAAAATATTTTCTAGAGCCGCCACTGGGCCATGGGCTTGCACTGAAGGCGGTGCCTCATGATATGTGATTAAATAAATACTGTTTCCCATGAGAACATTGCTAAAAGAAGCAACATATTTTATTAATCACAATATACATTTTTGGTTATGTTATTAATGTGACCCAAAAAGTTCTCTGGAGAATTTGCATTAATTTGAGTTATAAGTTAGAATTTTGTTAAAAACATGCATTATTTTTAGGTTGGTTGGTAAACTTTTCTATCTGAAAGTGCATGCACACTGACTTTTGAGGCTTTTAATTTCTCAAATGAGAATACTTGGACATTAAATTCAAATGCTCTATATTAATTAAGGGAAACTAATATACCCAATACGTATTATACCATTTTAAAGCTAATTTGCTAACATGTTTTAAAATTTTATCACTTTGTCCACATTGAGATCACTGCACATACCTTTATTTCATTAAGTGTTGCTTCAAGCCTGCTGCATAGAATCATGGTACATACAGGGCTAGTGTTTTTCTTGAAATGATAATAACTTTTCTGAAAGAAGGTGGATATTTGAACCTTCTCTAGACTGCCATACAAGTTTCTCATGTTGTTTTCACAATTCAAGCTTGAAATACATTGCGCCCCTTGTATCAAAGTTAAAGAGAATAATAGGTAAGTATATGGACAGACAGAAATAGTAATAATTAACAAATAACAAAAAATGATTGTCAGTGAATAACATTCACAAATTTTTAATGAATGGTAAGTGAATGGTCATCTAAAATTTCACTGCCACTGTAATTACGATACAAAACACACTAGCATCATCATTATCATTTCGCCATGTGTCTTTGAACTTTGATTTTTGTGGCTACTGTGCTTAAAGCAATGTAGCCACTATGCCATCGAAATGCTTTCCTGTTGTAAGTGATGTTAAATCAAGGACTTTTAACTGTTACCAGGATAGGAAGCTGGCTGGTTTAAGCCGTCTAACTTGAATTAGCCTTTCGTGTGGTATTGTTATTCTAATGAGGCAGATAAGCACAATCTGCACATGCTCAGAAAAACAAAACTTTCCTTAGCCCCACTGCGTATCGGCTAGGCGTACAGCAGCTAGGCCTAGCTTATCTTATTTTTGTTTGTTATGCACCACTGACTTGTTGTTTTTCATCACTTCAAGATGTCTACCGATTCGTGGAAAAGGCGTAAAAAATATTGGCGTTTGTGAGCAATACATTTTAATATTATATAGGTAAGTAATAAGTATATGAATAATTTTAATGCAGCACTAGTTAGTTGATAACTTCATTCTAATTTGTTTTGGTTTTTTTTTCTGCATTTTTATAAGCGGTTAAACATTACGGAAGCGTATTGCTGCCAACTAAAAAAATAAAATTTAGTTATTATCTCGTCATTACGAGATATTATCTCGTTATTACGAGATATTATCTCTTAATTACGAGATAATTATCTCGTAATAACGAGATAATTATCTCGTAATTACGAGATAATATCTCGTAATAACAATTACCTACACCCGTAGATAGTTGTGGACACTTGACCCCAGTGTAATTAATGCTTGTTAGCTAATTAAATAATAATCTGATAACCTTGAATTATGCGTGTAATTAAAGACCAATAATAGTTGTTGATTATAAAAAAAACTTTCAGGTGTATAACTCAATCCACATTTTTTTAAATTTATGCAAATATGCTTAAAGGTCCACAATTCCCCACCCTTACCCTACCTCGTAATTATGAGATATTATCTCGTAATAACGAGATATTATCTCGTAATTACGAGATAATATCTCGTAATTACAAGATATTAACTCGTAATTACGAGATATTATCTCGTTATTAAGAGATATTATCTTGTAATTACGAGATAATTATCTCGTTATTACGAGATAATATCTCGTAATTACGAGATAATTATCTCCTTATTACGAGATAATATCTCGTAATAACGAGATAATATCTGAATTTTATTTTTTTTAGTTGGCAGCAATACGCTTCCGTAAAACATGGCCTAGGCTAGCCTATGTGATGTTATATAATTAATGCTTGCGGTACACCACGTAGATAGTTCTGAAAAGAACTGTTGTTGTTGGTTGAGAATATCTCGATGTTTCGGTTGACTTGCTTCAACCGTCTTCAGGAGAATAATATCTCGACGTTTCGGTTGACTTGCTTCAACCGTCTTCAGGAGAATAATCAATTATTCTCCTGAAGACGGTTGAAGCAAGTCAACCGAAACGTCGAGATATTCTCAACCAACAACAACAGTTCTTTTCAGAACTATCTACGTGGTGTACCGCAAGCATTAATTATATATTATACTTCGCCATGCAAACCTTCAAACAATACTATGTGATGTTACTACAAAACGAAATCACATAATTTAAAATCAAATTTGTAAACATGCTTGCCTTATATCTTAACCAGCAGGTGATTTTATTGGTAGATTAGTTTGTTTTTAAGTGTGTAAGTATGATTGATTTGCATGGTTTGCGGGGTTTGCGTGGTATGCGGGGTTTAGCAATACCCCTGAATTGTTTTTTATCGTATTTTTGATGTTCTTTTTTCTTGACCGATTTTTATATTTTGATTTTATTAGACTTTGTACCTGAACTTTTTGTATTGTATTTTTGATGTTTCCTTCTGTTTTTTTTTTATTGTGTACCTTTGCTGTAAATTTGCACTCCAATTCAGGCCTTTGGGCTGCTATTGTACTTTTAGTGGTTTTTTAGTACCCTTATTTTGCTTTGTTTTACCGTACCGCAATTCTCTTAGCCAATACCAGTGTGGCTAAGGAAAGTTTGTTTTTTTGAGCATGTGCAGGTTGTGCTTATCTGTCTCATTAGCATAACAATACCACACATAAGGCTAAGTTAGACGGCTTAAACCAGCCAGCTTAATCCTGGTAACAGTTAAAAGTTCTTGGTTAAATTTCGTAAGTCTTTGATCATGAGCCCGGCCCTTATTTAGGAATTTCAATGGGGGGGGTTCGGCTTGGGACTATGTGGAACTCCTTATCAAAACCCACATACTTCTTCTTCTCTCCCCTAAATGGGGACTTTATTCAGTGTTTACTAAACAGAGCTTCTATATTATAACAGTCTTTGGCACTTCGTTTTCTCTCCCTTTCTCGCTGTTCTGCCGAAGCCACGCAAGCTCTGGCGCATATAGCCTCTTAATTGATTTTAAGCAACGCAATTAACATTTAAATACCGATCCGTTAATTTATGGAACAATTTATCATCAGATATCCGCAGTAATATTCATTCTATTTCCCTACAATCCTTTAAAAATCTAATTTAATTTACCAATCTTTTTTCTGCTTCTTATATGTATGTAACTTATATATTTCGTTATCAATTCTGTTTTTAATTTAAAGTAGTTTAAGATCATACCCTGGACCTCAGGGAAGAACAGTGTACTAATACTGACTGAGTATCTAGAATAAAGAAAGATTTCTATCTATCTATCTAACATTTATTTTCATACGAAACTTTTAAAATATCCAGAGGGACTTTTACAGATGGAGAGTGTAGCTGGACTACCACCTCAGCCCCACCATGGTTGGGGCTGAGGTAAGAAAATTTATGATTATGGCACCTCCAGTTGGTCGGAAATGGCACTCTCAGACTAAATTTGAATATAATTTTAATTTTTCCACTTTTGAATTTCGAAAAAAAAAAAAAAATAGTGATGGTGGGCCGGCTGGGCCCCTTGAATCTGCCACTGAAATACTCATCATAAAGCGTTTTTAAAATTATCCTTTTTAGTCATAATTATATGCCCGCTTATATATTTCGTGCAAACTAACATTCATAAAAATAATGATTTATTATCTACTGAGCTTGTAATGTAGCCTATTCAAAATTCAAACCCTGAAAAATAAATAAGATAAAATTAAAACAGTAATTAATTTAGTCTTTTTGCATGTACAGTACTTTTAAAAAAAGGTTTTTGCTTTTCTCCTCTTTTTGAATTTCATTTTTGTGTAAGTAATATTGCTATAAATTATTGTGAGTGGCAATAATACCATCTAATTTACGATCAAACAGGACTAGGGAGATAGGGAGCACACAAAACATTAGTTAGCATTTTGATTTCACAAACATAAAGGTGATTTACTTAATTATCATTATCAGTGGCGGCTCCAGGAAAGCAAATTAGAGGGGGGACAGGGAGGGACTTGCACGTTGGGAAAGTAGATCACCTCAGCCCAACCATGGTTGGGGCCGAGGAAAGAAAATTTATGATTATGACACCGCTAGATTGCCGGAAATGGCACTCCCAGACCTAAATTCTAATTATAATTCCTCTGTTTTTTTGGTTTTTTTTCCATTTTAAAAAAATAATTTTGAAAAACTTAGGGTCGGCTCGGCCCCACTTGAATCTGCCACTGATTATTATGACGTCATTGCGAGAAGGAATAAATCGTTAACAACGTTCAGTACATTGTTTTCACAATAAATTTAGCCTCTGATAGTCGTTGCACCCATAAAATCGATCTAGTGGGTTTCTGAGATGGTTACGAAATGTTTAAACAATTGCGTTTTTACTCGGTTTTGGTCCGGAAAATACGTACCGCACTTAGAAAAGTGAACAGACAAAATTCACGCGTGCTGTTCGATGTGAAAGCAAATTACCAAAGTTTCGCGGGATCAATTTGTCATGTGACCCTCCTTCCCACGCTAATTTTATCGTTGATTTATTGAGCTAAAGCATTATTTTATAATAAGACATTAAAAACATTTAATAAAACAATTATGCTGTACGAAAGATTTACTAGTTTTAGATTCTTATAAATTAGCGCTTTTAATTAGCAAAAATGACGTCATTTTTCATAATTATTCCCTTGTGGGCGGTAGACTTTGTTTATTTTGTGATCCTAATTAATTAACTTTAATTTCCTGTAATTAACGAAATAAGCATCGTTTATCATAATTTTTTCAATTTTATCATAATAGTAACTTTCATTAGTAAACTCAATCAAATTCTCCAAGATTCATTTTAAATAGTTGGCCTGGGATCCCTAACTACATGTATGTACTATTTTTGTTTTAGCCCGCTTTTGTAGGCCTACAGAATAAAACGGCAATGAAAAAATCTTCCTAATCTTCACGGAACTCCATCTCCCGCTGGGGGGTTCAGACGAACCCCAGAATCCACCCTAAATACGGGCCTGTGAGCCGACAACTTTGATCATGTGCCGATGACCAATCAACGTTCAGGAATAATTTCGCAACCACATCCGATCAAATAATACAAGGCTATGATTCTACCGCATGACAAAACCAAACAAAACTACTCGACTTTGTTTTATTGCTCTGCAATGTCAAATGCAAGTTCTATGTAGGTAGGCCTAGATAGAGCTACTGATTTTAATGTGTTACTATAAGTAGTATTATTATGGTAGATGAAATTTGTTTTGACATTTCACTTTGGCTCTGTTTTTTCCTTTGAGTTTTAGTTTACATTTCTTCAGTTTATAGGTTAGCCCATGCTGATATCTGCCACTGGCCCACCGTGCAGTACGTTGTCAAATCGTAGCAGCCCTAGCCAGTGTAGCGAGGCTAGTGGTCCACAGAGACTAATAGACTAGGGCCTATTAATTATGAGGGGTGGGTGCCAGGATTTGCCAAACAGACGGGGTCCCAGATTTCTCCGACAAGAGCAAAGAGTGCGTGGTCGAGGGTCGCCAAAGTATTTTGAAATTGGTCCTGGTGGCGAAGCTCCCAAAAATGTTGGATGAGTTATAAGTAGCCAAAAAAAAAAAAAAATGTCAATCAGTAGACAAATGCTGCTACTGGGAGCCTATTTTTATGTTCTCTAATGACTCGAATGCCCACTGTAGTTTAACTATGTGTCATGTTTTGTGAGATTGTTGTACATTTTTAATGATTTTCTGTTTTTTGTAGATACTATTATTCAACAATAAATATTGATATTGATCACCTATCATTATCACTCATGATCACTAACACACAATTCTGATATTGGATTGGATTGGATTCATTCGATGTAAACACCAAGGATAGCCCACGAAAGTCTCGATGAAGACTTATTTCCAGGTCCTTCTGGTGGTAGTACACTGGGAGACAATCCCCTACTCTTTTCCGAAGAGTGTCATTCTTTAACGTGCGCATGGACCAACCGCTTAAACGTCTCATCCGAAAGACGGTGTGCTATCATAACTTGTATTTCAGCCCTCCAGCTGAAACACAAGGAGAGGCAGCAATAGAAATTGAACCGGGGACCTAGAGATCTCCACGGTTCAGCGCACACACAATGGCTACCACCAGATTAGCCGATTGAGAAAAGCTGCTCTCTCTAAATAAATAATACAAATTCCAAATATCAATTAACTATACCTGAAAGTTTCTCAACAGCAGCAATATTGAGAATAGAAAGGCGGTCAATTGCCAACACTCCATTTTTTTTCAAGAACTTTTTAATACTTGGATGGATCACTTTCTGGCATCCCAAAACACTGACCCCATCGTCAAGCAATCTCTGTACAATGTCAAACAACTGTTCAGTGACAACACACATTGGAGTGAGTCCGTCTGAAACCTCACATCTGACTTCAAGAACCTCACCAGTGTCACCTGCTAATGAGATGTTAAACAGAGCTACTTTTAATGGGCTGGTATTAGAGGTGAATCTCGACCCAGGTGGAAGAATTTTATCAGGAATATCGTTTGGAAGCTGGAATAGCACACCATCTATTATTCGTGAGTTCTGTGTATCCTGGCTTGGCACATCTATGTAATAGATGTCCTGCTGGGTGGATCTCAGATGGCCAGATGTTGGGAACGTTTTCAGAAAAGCCTGCAAGATTAAACCCGAAACATGGGAGATATCTCTGCTGGTAAAACTGCAGGCAGGTTTGGTGGAAATTATCGATCGAATCACAGCCATCATCTGGCTCATATTACTGATGTCTACATGAATTCTGCACTCTTTGGAGGTACTCACAAAGTGATTACACCAATCCAACATAATGCTGTTTACATCACAACACAATATTCTTGGAAGTCTATCAGTATTAAAGCAACAACAAACAGACAAAAGTTCAGAGGCCAAAACTGCTACAAACAAGCCTCCATCATTAAACAGTCGCAAGTGTTCTGTCACAGCAGTAACCAAAAGTCTGAGAAACGGCCTTCTGATTGGTAGACTTTTTAAGAGATCATAAGAGCTGGATGTCAACATTACTTGCCCACCACTATGATGTTGAATTGTCTTTAAACGAGAATTGGGTCCATAGCATGATTTTACTAGATTTCTAAACGTGGCAAGCCCAAATTGATTATTCGCATCATCTAAAGTTGAAAACTCTACGAGACTTGGAGAAGGAACACTTGCTACAATATCTGTTCTACTCATTCTGATAAATAAATGAAACAAATTTAATGTCATCAATCTATTGTTCAGTTAATATTAAAAATGAACATTGATAATGAAAATTATTTTCAAAAACATTGCTAAATTAATGGGGGAAGGTGGGCTTCAACAAAAAAATAAAATTTACTGCAAAACTGGTTTAAAGATGCTTACCTTATTAATTAGTCTTTGGTTTTATGTTTCTCAGAGTATAACCCACCATACGATTCGGAGTTGAAAGATGATGATGTCAATCGTTTTTCAGAAGAAAAGGCTGACTTACCCCACTGATATACACCAAGATGAAACATCACCAAACCAATGCCAACTGATGCAAATTTGTTCCTTTTGATCCAATTTAACACACCCATCCTATTAACAAGACAAATGAAATTAAAGACTGGGAAAAATCACTTAGAAATATATTAAACAACTTAAATAGAGAACTTAAAAGAAAATTCTGTTCAACTTCAATAAAAGAAAGTATTAAAAACCCCGAAAAGCTCTGGAACACTATTTACAATCTAATCCCTAAAAATGTAGTCAGATTAGGTAAAAGTATATAAAAATAATGGCTATACATCTTGTGATAAAGATACAGCAAATAAATTAAAGGAGCAATTTACCTAAATTGGTAATAAACTTACCTCTAAAATTTCAAATAATCCTTCTAGTACTAACTCTTATTTTAAAGTTATAAAATTAACAGTAAATTTGAATTTGATCTTATAACACCAGATTATATAGTTGATGAAATTTGTAAACTTTCTTGCAACAAGGCTTCAGGTTTTGATGAACTTGATTGTAAATTATTGAAACTGGCGGCACCAGTGATTTGTGATTCTCTTGCATTTATATGTAATTTATCTTTGTTTTCTTCAACCTTCCCAACTTGGAAAGACCACATAAATAAATTATCTTCAAATTTGTCTAAGCGTATTGGTGTCATCCGCCGTATAAAATACCTACTTCCACCCCATACTCTTAAAATGCTAGCCAAGTCCTTAGTATTACCTCTTTTTGATTATTGTTGTTGTGTCTGGTCCAATTGTAATGTTCAATATTCTAATTGTTTACAAGTTCAAATGAACAGTAATAGTAGAATTGTTTTGTCCGTTGATATATATACTTCCGTTGATTTAAGTTCACTTGCATGGAAATGACTACATGTAAGGTGGAATGAACAGTTAGCCTTAATGACTTTTAAATGTTTAAAAGGATATGCGCCATCTTATTTATCATCTAAATTTAAATTTAATATCAAATCCCATTCAAAATGTACACGTAGTCAATCTCATAATAACCCTATTGTACCACAATGGAATAACTGTCAAGGCAAGAGAACTTTTTTGTATCGCTCAACAAAGCTGTGGAATGAACTTCCACACGAAACAACAACAAATTTCATGGACATGTCTATTATATTTTTTTTTAAACTCTTTTAATTCTTAATCACTTATTGTATATATGATATCTACTTATATATTTTCTTTTAACTTTTGTATTTTATGTAACTGTACCACTTTGAAAAACAGTACACAAGTACTGAAAGTGCATGCAGTAGAAAGACAGAATAAATAAATAAATAAACTCCAGTAATATATCCTTTTTCAACAGACTTCCATTGAGTCAAACTCTTAAAATAATGATCCCTTAAGTATGAAAAGTTTCATTATAATCCATCCTTCAATTCAGTTTACAGGCATTTATAGTGTAGCATGATGCTGTCAGTGATTGTTGAAGGACCAATAAATTCTACATGTTAATAAAGTACAAATGAAGTGACTTTTAAAAACTTTACCTTCAAAACAGTACCTCTGTTGGTTATCTTTCACCCTTTGCAGCTTCTATACTTTTCTGTGATTTGAGATAGGTGGGTAGAACTGGTAGAGGATCAATCTCCCTTTTTGAATTAAATGTTGGGTTATTTGCTATTGAGTACCAACCAAGATGTATAATTGCCAGTCCGGTGATTATAGCAAATGAAACTCTGTACTTCTGAAAAAATGACATTCCCTTTGTGGATTTCCAGCCACTGTGAATATATAAAAGATAAAAATATATTATAAGTCAGTGGTGACGTCTAAATTATCCTATTTCCAACTGACCACTTTACTGATATAGTGCACCCAGCAACCTAACAAATCTCTGTTTACGGCACTAGTTATATGAATGAAGCCTAGACTGTCCTAGGCAAGGTTTAGAAAGGCATAATGGTTTTGAGATAACAAGGTAATTGACTTATCAAAGTGAAAAAATAAGGCAAAGCTGAAATAATTTATAATAATGTTTATATTTTATTCTAAATAAATGTCTACCGGGAGGTTAGACCTACCTAATAACCCTTTTAAAAATTCATTACATGAAAAGAGCTGTGAAGAGAGCTGTGCGAGAAGAGTGTCAATGTGCGTACTACTAAGAAATTATACACGTAGCTAAGTAACCTGCGAGTTTATGAATGTAAAGTAACCGCTCTCAACCAGCAGATAAAAGGTGACAGATGTCGCAACTGACTTACAAATCAATTATAATCACGTAGTTTTGCACACTATAGGAAATAAAAGCCTTTGTATTATATGGTATGAACATGTTTAATGTATATTTAATATACATTATAATCAAATATACATTACTGTATATATGTACATTTAATGTATATTAAATAAATATACATTATATTTATATTTAATATGCCTATAAATAATTAGTATGGTCACTATTATGTTGTTATTATTGTCATCATTGTTATTACGTAGTTATATTTATGCTTGTTTTCATAAATGAAAATGGAAAAACAAAGGCAACAATTCAAACAATTTTGGCATAGTTTGGCTTTGCAATCAAATCTCTTGACAATTTTGCCCTACTTGACGTGGAAATGTGCCGAATACTCAGTACATTTGAAAACAACTGCGAAAAAAATCACAAGTTGTTCTCGGGTGGGACTCGAACCAACAATCTGCAGATCACTAGCCTGGCATCATACCTCTAGACCACCGAGCTTGCGCCTGATGGCCAGGGT